TGGAAATATAACTGGGATGGTGCCATGGATTTCATTTCAAGGCTCTGCAGGACTGGTGCAGGGGCGTTCATTATAGCAAGGACGTCCTCCGGAGATGCGGCTACGAGTTCAATCGAGCGCCATCTTGTGGAATGCACCATTGCTATACTTGAGAACTCGGCGCATCCGTCCGGCGGGCGGGAGGCAAACCTGACAGCGCCAGACCGAGGCGAACCGATGACATTCAGATGATGGTTTGCTGAGCGGGAAATGGCGGCAGAGGTAAAGGCTGGCGGGTCTAGGATGTCGATGGTGGTCCAGAATGAGGGTGTGCTGTTGATAACATCTCTCCATCTCCGGCAGACTTGGCAAAGAGCGACAAGGCGTCCCAGGTGTGTCTGACCCGAGCGATGGCGGGTCTGGAAAGGGTCAAGCGCTCCAGTAATTATTTGGATGAAGTTTTCGACTGGAAGCTGATGCAAAGATATCAATCTGTTGTGTTCTGTGTGAACCGCGGATATCTTGTCAAGCATGTGGCGTTGAACGGTTTCAAGTGTTAATTTGAGGGCGCATGCATAGTCGTCAACATGAGAGAGCGTGCCAGTGGGAACTTTGGTGTCCTCTCGGTAACTTAGCACGTGTTTTGGTGCCGGATGGGCAAGGACCATCAGAATCAAACACGCGCTCCATTCGGGTTGAACGAACCTCATCGCCTCCAGTACATTCTTGTTTTCATCATTAATAGATTGCAAGAGGATACCAATGGCAGAGCCAACCGCGGAGCCTGTGGCCGGATTCATGATTGATTTGGTATGGATGTATACTCGTAGCTTGATAGGGTCTTTGTAGAAACGGCCTCTCTACCCTCCCACGGTTCAACCACAGAGGGCTCCACGCTCTGTCTCCTCAGCCTCAGGGACCAGATTCTTCCAATTTGGCCTAACATCTGGTCGCATTGTCTGCCTTGACATATACATATATCTTTACATCCAATCCAACTTGAAACGAAATTCATCGCTCCACATCCTCATGAAGCTCGAAACTACCCGGTCCGAGAATTTCTTCTACCAAATCAAGAGTATCCTTGTCGGCTTCGCCTGAAACGTGGCTTATTGTCATCCATTTCAAAGGAGGGGGAAGGTCTCGCCCATCATCTTCCGAATCCTCCGAATCCTCCTCCTCCAATCCATACCGTGCCTTGATCATGCCTAGCAGGAGTGACG